AAAGTATCTATCTGAAGGGGATTTTAAAAGTATGAATTTAGGTACTAATAGTACACATTTATGTTAAGGATTGAGTGAGATATTGTATTTTCTTTGTGTTTTTCAACTTTGTGATGAAAAATCACGTGATCTTACCGTTCTAAGGAATTATGCAAGCAGCAGTAATGCTTAATGCCCTTTATGCTTAATATACCTCTATTTTCCTGCCTACCAACTTGGTGGATCAAATTTTTCATGCTTATTGAGAGGAAATGCTAAACTACAAGTATGCTTATTGACAGGTTTCACTGTATAGAAAACTGATCACACTCTCAGCCTCACCAAACATGCCAGTGTCTCTAGAATAGTAGTAGCACTAGGGCTTTTATGTCCTCTTCGGCAAGCTTACAGCTCAAGCCTTGACTATCACGCTTCTTTATACTTAATCTAAGAAGTACCCGCTGCGATGAATTCGCACAACCCTTGTCTGAACATATCACCATCTGGAAAGCAATTGAGTCATGACTCCGAGTCGAAGCTCCAGCTATTAAAATTTCAACGGCTTTCTGTCCCCCGCTAATATACTCTAATGACTCCGAGCTAATCTGTAAAGGATACCATTGTGCTTGGCTCTTCGATTTGCCTTGCCTCATTATTGATACTGTTCTGCATTATGCGGGACAGCGCACCGATTGCAACGTTTCGCCTCTTCTGTCTATTCTTATGTCCTTCGAACATGGCGACTAAATGCTTGGCATATTCTTTATCAGTACTAAAAATATGCATGGGATACACAATGGAAGCACGACGCTTCACGCCAGGTAAATGAAAAGAAATGCTCTTGTGCAAGTGAAGCTATTCATCTCGTTGAGTACTTTGTTTTATTCTCTCTCCTTCATTGTTCAATTTCACTCAGGAAGCCTCTTACTTTTCTCTGGCCCTGCCGTGTGGTACAATAAGTGGATGTGTTGGACTCTTGTACATCCCCGCACCTATTAAAAGCTGTATGGAGGAGGGGGCCTAAAGGGTAAAGACGGAGAGCGGCAAGTCCAGGTCCAGCATCAAGTGTACTTCTTACAGTGATATTTATCCAAGTTTACCAGATGAACGTGGGTAATCTCAAAGCACACTCCAGTCCGCCATTATCGTAATTGATAGTGCTTCTGCCTACAGCATTGCTTTTTGACACCTTTGACTTTGTTACTGTACAGCTCATTGACTTATTGCCTACTTTATCATTCTTCTATAAGGAAACCGTTACCATTCACCCTGTCAAACTCCAGTAAACACAGATTGCCTGAAGGACACAGTATCACTGAGCCTCTCGTTGAATCAACGCACTATTTCCACTGTCTGGCCTATGTTTTTACTAAGCTGTTGATCAATCCGGATTCTGGCTCCAAGGTCTATTTGAACACGGAGCTTCGATCCTTGGCACTTGCGTTACGTACCGGGAATTCTTAGGAGAAGAAGGGCGCAGGGATCGATCACCCTTGCGCGCCATGTGCACGGCTGTGAAGCAATAGTCTTGTTCAAATGAAACCATTAGAGGTATGAGTCTCATTCATTCGATGTTCCGCATTGAACAATTTAATCTCGCGCATTTAGCACCTATGATCACAAGTTAGCAGCCAGGTTGCAAGAGAATGGAACGTGTAGACTCTATTATCATTCAGACTCAACAGGAGCAACTCCGGGCTGTCTGACGATATGCTGATAATAGTGCCGACAGATCTAGTATCAATTGTGCCTTCTGTTTGTAAAGAGCAGCCCGGTTATACCGACTAATTCAAGGTAACTCCCGTAGAGCTTCTTACCACTTTCAGGTTCAATGTATGCGGTCAACCAAATCAGAGTGCGAAGTCGGCATCGGGTTCCAGGCTACTGGCACACAAGTATCCGACCCGAGTTCACCAGCAATTTATAACAGATGCTCTTGGCAAAATGGACACGCATGGCGAAAGGCTACTGCGGCTTCGTTCGGGCTCACGTGGAAGTAAGTTTTACATTGACCGCCGTATCAAAGCTGCCGGAACCTAGTTACAAGCGACCGTGCGCAGAGGAGAATATAGTCGATTGAGAAGCGTATGACGATGCTCCTTGAACAGTCAAGATTTGCGTGTGAGAACGGAGAGCGGGAAAACCGTTTGTAGATTGCATCTGCAAAAAATTTGTCAATTGGAAGTTCCGACAGTCTCATGTCCTCGCCTACTTCTTTGTGAAGGATAATAACCATTACGCTGTGTCGGATAGCGGAAACGCAGCGGGCGTCAGATACTTTTATATACCATATTTTGCTCCGATCCGGGGGAATAATTCGTTTCGTGTTCTTAGGGTTTTGCTGTTCTTGCGAAAGTCGGACTAAACCAGTATTATCGCGGCTAGTCCTCCTCACTCTCCCCTCCGCGGTATTCCAAGGACCGCCATCATGCAGGACTAACCACGAATGCACTTGAATACTAGTGACCACACTGGAAGCAACCTTAAAATAAACACGTTCACAGCTTCGCGGATCAGGATCGGCCGGCCCCGAGCGGATAGATGTCATAAATGCAGGATTGTATATTCACTTGTACCCATCTAAACCTTTTGATAATATCGAGGTCATTCGTGATCGAGTAACGGTAGTTACGCCGACGGAGGTATTCAAGTCCGAGGAACACACATGCGATCATCCAGATTTGATGGTGGAGATATTATGGCTCTAATTTCCGGATTCGAAACGAACCTATCGAATTCCGATATTCAGGTTCTCTACCACATGATCAGCTCGGTTACCACAAAGAGAGAGCTGCCACGCCGCTGTTAACCGGGGTGCACGCTGATTTCTGAGTTCAATGCCATTGAGCCGATGATAACGCAGAATAGGAAGACACAACCTTCGTTCCTGACAATAAATCAATTTCGACTTCTAGTTGCCACACATTAGAAACCGCAAATAAAATAACTACTAATCTAACAATAGGTTACTGAATACTCCGAAATCAGGACACATCACACGAGCTGCCATTTGATATTGTCCTTGACGTGCGGCTTTCGTTACAGCTCTCGGGCGGTTGGCAACTGAGATCCGAGTGCGGAAAGTACGTATTGTGTGACCAAACATCCGGTTTCGCACTCTCCGCAGCCGCCGATATTTCGATTCATGCGCCTAGACGGGCTCCCATGCTCCTTTCTCGGTCCGGTGCCAGGCACGAGAACTGGGAAAAACGACTGCTTGCAGGCGTGGTGTGAGGTCAGACCATTGCTTCGCTGTACGAGCCTCTGTGTCTGCATCAAGGACAGATCGAATGTTCCGGTGGCAAGGGAGTTCAAGGCGAGTGAGATCGCTGAAGAGGTGGAGGACACTAGTGAGTGCTGCAAATAATTCCTATTTAAAGAACCGCAAATCAGATTGATGAAGTCCTTGAAAGAGAACTACAAACAGCTTCGTTGTAATAGTCCGCAGAAACATTGTGCAACCGAAGAGACTGCAGGGAGGGTAGACACATTGCTAGAGCCCGGATGAGCATAGGTGACCACCCAGGTGTTGCTACACTGAAGCTTGCAACCGGCACTGACGCCTGTCCTAAAGGAGGGACAATGCATCTGACTTCAAGCTCAACATTCTGCGAGTGCCATGCGAGTGTGATCCGCTTTACAGGCCGTCCTGGAACAAAAATGGAGGCGAGACGTCTGGACCCCATATATGAAGTCAATGAAGGCAAGGCAGACGGAGGTAATGAAAAGGGAGGTGCGTTTCGCAAGCTGGGATCGTTTGAAGGGGTTTCTCCTCCTAGACAGACTGACGTTATCGTTGGATGGCGTATGAAAAATTCTACCAGCGGTGTTGGATTTGGCGAAAGATCGGCAATGGAGGAGAAGGTCGTGAGACGGGGAAATGTGCACCCATTAAGAGCGGGCAAATAAGGCCCTTCAATCGCGACGTGGAGCGACGTCAGCTGTGTCATGGACCGAAGCACCGTAGAGAGAAGAGGGCCAAGGTTTTGTACACAACTCCTCGTGTCTCTATAGTCGGTTAAGCTCAGTTCATGATCTCCGTTATCATGTATCCTTTTCTACATTGACTCACCTAATCATTATGACGAACTCTCGAACAGACTTAGCTGCTTGCGGCTTCTTCTGTAATGTTTGGAAGCACTGTATTGCCTGAGAAATAGTCGTGAGCTCCAAATGTCGGTAGATCAACTTTTCCGAGACTTCATTAAACGACGTGTTAGTTCGTGCGACCGACGTAAGTGTGGTTCTTGGAACGTTTTCAAAAATTTGATGGAAAATCTCCATCGGAAGGGAAGGTACATCCGACGAGGATCTGGCATGAGTGGAATGAGTCTGTCTTGAGGACGACGCCTGCGGATTGCGGGGATCTTGCATGGCTTGCACTGAACGGAAACAAGCATCCGATAGAGGCTCCTGAAATGCGAGGAGCTATCACTAATGTCGCAGCTCCTTTTAATATGAACAGCAGACCTAGTAACTCCACGCACGGGATGTAGCAGGCTAAGTATCCTTTGAATCAGCCTGCCAATTAGATACAGTTTCTTCAAAGTTCGGGCGGCTTGATCGTAATTAGCGGCGAGCGGCGAGCGGACGTCTTTAGTAAATGAGACAGAGATGGCAATGCCTGTCTATTTATGAGCAGCAACCAGGTCTTGGTAGGTGGGCGTCAGATTAGCTCGGCCAGATCTGCGAAAGATCTGGCACTAGAATGCCTCCGAGAGTCGCATATTTCTTCATAGCTGAGAGGGGTTAAATACGCCGTCCTGTCGGAAATCAGCGAGTCGAGTTCCAGGATCGGTGGCGGAGCAGTTCTCAAGAAGTGGTAGGGAAAGAAAGAACAGGGTGAACCTGCTTTACACACACGGTGCATTTCTTCGGCACGATTGGGACTCCGCTCTAATTATGCTTCCCGATTTGATTGCGTTTTCATTTCCGACTCCCTCTTCCTCTTATATTTTTTCCCCTTCTACACCACTTTCTGATGCTCCTTATATTCATTTACAGCGAACCATATGTACCTCAATTCAGGTGAAGAATCATGCTTCTAGTATGCAGTTAAAGCGCATCATGGTGACGCTCATTTGCCTTCTAATGGAAGTACCTCTATTTTTTGCAGTTAACTAGCGTTGGAGAAACTATACATTCGGGCTGATCGGAGTTGTAGATAAAGCACACAACAAGAATAGCGGCTCAGTCTTCTTTAAGTCGCAATTGTCCCATCTATGCCGGCAAGCCCATTTGGATAAACGTTTCGCAAGAGTGATGGGCTCCCTATTTCCAGCCTTGTTCACGGAGAATTCGTTCACTTGTAGAACATACTTCCATAAGATGGTAGTCTCGGAACCGTTGTCATCGTATGCGGCATTCCAGATGACTTTTCTCATATCTATTTCTGCCGCGGATCGCATGCACCAAGCAAAAGGAAACTCCGGATTCTGTTTCTATTTTCTGAGGTAGAATCCAACTTGCCGCCGGCTCCTCCAGTGCTTCGCGCAAGTCATCGAGAGAAGAGTCCCCACTCGGCTGGTAAACCACGTTTCCGTACATCGTGCTAAGCCAGACGATAATATCAGGTTATCGTCTTCCGACTCTCCCTCCTGGATATCAGTATTATAATGTTTTCTCACCCATGAACAATCGTGAGTGCTTCTTTAACCAATAAAATAGTAACGAACCTGGTCTTCGCCATCCATGATATTTATATACTAATGTGGGTATTTCTTGCTTAACGTGAATCTACCAGGAGTCTGCACGATGTATACGATGTATATGGTGAGTACACAACCCAATCGGATATTTCTTTCCGATTTGAGATAAAACCGTATCTTCCGTTCACTCACGACGTATGCCTCTTCTTTTCCGGTGAGAAGCAGGCGGGAGTCATGCGATATATCTTGTCCACCATTGGTTCCGAACCCCAAGTGCCGCACATGTCACTGCTGCGCAAGAAGCTGCATAGATTAGAGTTCGGGATCGTTTTATCGACGCAGAGACGGACCATTATCCGTTCGCATTATTTAATTGCGAACTTCGATGAAGAGTCGACAGTTCTATTGCGTAAACGAGAATCGCGCTATTTGAGAAATAGGCATAGATGGGCAAACCCCAGTCTAGATAGGTTCAGATGTTCGGAGCTCAAATCCAAGGCGCAACTCAACTCACATGCCTCATAGTGCCACTATCGCACTAAGACTTTCGTTCTCTTGAACAAGATTTCCGCCTCATGCGAACGTAACTTTCAGGCTCGTTTACTGATGTGGCGTGTCCGTGGTACGCAAATATCTCAGGTTCACTTTGTTCTATAATTATTTAAGATGATGTCGGAGCTATCTCACAACTCCGTGTGGTGAAACGTAGGATGACTTTTGACGAGAGTGATAAGTGACACTTCGCTATGATACATTAGCACAGCTCCTCGTGTTGTGCCATTCACTCCTTTCTGGCTCTGCCTTGATGAAGTTTAGGTGTTCTTTGGCCGTGCAGGCTATTCGGGGTCCGCCAAAGTGATAGTCGTGATTGATAAAGTCATGTTAATGGAGATGCAGTGTCTAATTTACCACAGGAACGAGCTACCGTGTGAAATGAGGACCTATTTCTGGATACCTTTGTTTTAAAATAGTGAGCATCTGGTCGTAGTTTAGTTGTGGTGATTTTAAAATCGGACTTTCAACTTCAGCAAAGTCCGCGTGCGCGTCAGCCGCGTCGATCGTCTTTTTTTGTTTTGACACTGACCTCCACTGACCTCCATGTCGTATCTAAGCAGTGCTCTGAGAAAGTCAGTGCAACGACGTGGGCAGCGATACTCTTTGAAGTCCTTTTCTTACTCAAAACACAGCCCTCAATCACCGTCTATAATCAGACATAGGAGGTCATTTTTCTCCTCTGAGCCAGGTCCAGAAGAGGAGATTGACGATCACGGTGACTATGAGATTATTCTTCCTCCAGACCCTCCTGTCTGGGGTGTCCGCCACATACCTATCCGACACGTTTCTCCACATATATTAAGACCTTCCTACGCTCAAGAGGGTAAAATTGTTGATGAATCGGATCGATACCACGGTGACCCATACGATGGGGATGGGAGGATTGAATTAGGCAGCAAAGATGAGGAGCAGCTCCGACGAGCAAGCCTATTAGCAAAGCGAACCCTTGTCAAGGCATCGGAACTCGTAAATGTGTGCTCCTTGTTCTCTTAATTCTAATTCTCGTTTCTCAGCATAGGGATACATGTCAGGTTGGAGTCTCCACTGATGAAATAGATGCAGCTTTGCATGACTTCATCACATCAAATGGTGCTTATCCATCACCTTTAAAATATGCGGGTTTTCCAAAATCTTGTTGTACCAGTGTCAATAACGTTGCTGTCCATGGTATACCCGACGTGTAAGTAACGTTCATGCCTTTTTCGTCTGCAGATTTAAATTAACGCGACCATAGCCGTAGGCTCATTGACGGAGATATCGTCAATATAGACATCACAGTGTATCTTGATGGGTTTCACGGAGATACGTCCCAAACATTCCTCGTTGGAGAAGTGGTAACTTTGGACTCCTTTTTCACCTGTAACTTCCCTCATGCTTGCGTCCGCAGGACAAAATTGGACGAGACCTAGTTGCTGCCTCAACTGAGGCGCTCGAGCTGGGAATTCGCGAATGCAGACCCGGCGCTCCCTTCAGGACAATCGGTGCTGCTATCCACTCATATGCCAAATCTCTTAACCTCTCCGTCTCTGAGCAATTTACTGGGCACGGAATAGGCAAGGTTTTCCACCGCCCACCGTGGATTCTACATCACCGTAAGCCAACTCATCGTTACGTCCTGATGGTCTCATACTCACGAGGAGCTGTCAATCTGCACCTCATTCTGAACATGATACAATTGCACGGCGTCTTGGCGCATAACAACAACTTCCTCGGTTTCTCGGCCTGCTGGTGTTCTCGCCCCTGAACGCCCCGGCGATCTGACGATCTTAACTGATTTACTTGCGAGCCTCCCTTATTTCTTCGGTGCTTCTCACCTTTATTCCGTCTTCTTGATCAACCCGAGTAGGCAATGACGAACCAGGGGTTATGCTACCTGGGCACTGCTTTACAATTGAGGTGAGGCGGTGCATCAGAACCTCTTTTCATCTGTGTCTTTAAGCTCTCGTTTGACCATTTTTGTTACCCGTTACACATTCCGGCGTTCTCTTGGCTTGTCTTCTTTCCACTAATCACCACCCTTATCAACTTTAGCCTATCCTCATAATCGGATCGGATCCAAGAGCGTGGGTTTTCCCAGATGGATGGACTGCTTCGACAATGGTAAAGTACCTCTTCTCAAGGCTCGTCGCTGTACCTCATGGCGTCTTCAGAAGGGGAGCAGAAGCACTCAAGCCGAACATACAGTTCTCATCACAGAGACGGGCGTCGATGTACTTACTCGATAATGAATTGATTTACGCTATTTCACTGACAAACAAGAAGTTAAGAAAAAGGATATGACGGCAATGTACTGTACAAAGACTTCACAACGCATGGGCTCGTGTGTCCCAATAACACGTATTTGTACAATTACTTCACGACGAAACAGCCACGCGGTCTTCTAGGAAGGTTGCCAAGACCTGTAACAGATCACCAGGTTCGGGCGTCGCGAGTATCTCGGAGCTCGCCGCTATGGCATCCTTCGCTTTCGCGACGAGCGCTTGTAGGTCCATTGTCATCTCACCCGTCATTCCCCGGCGTAAACGATCAGCCAATGTAAGGGACTTCCTCCTTAGCCGTCGCTCACGTTCGCGGTCCTTTGTTGTGCTTACGTCCGCTTTAAGTCCGTACCCATGGCCCTCCGACGGCTGCTGCGATTCATCCAGCTCCATTTCACCAGTTTGCTCGCCGTCGTGCTTAGATAGCCACATGACGAGTTGAGTCGATGCATATACCAAGACCGTCTCCAGTGCCTGTCGGTATATCCGTATGTCACCATATTGGGGCACTTTGGGAGCCTGTACCGAAGACGCAGGTAAAACGTTTGTTTTCTTATTTGCAAGGAAATGGAGTGACTCGTAGGAGCAGTTACCGAGCTCCAATAGGGTTCCAATTGATGCGGGTTCACCCATCGTTACTTTGGAATGCTGCGTGAAAAATCGGGTAAAAAGGGAGAATTTATCAGATAAAGGGATGCAGGGATGTCAACTAGACGTACCGGAACAACAACGGCTTCGCGGATGGGCCATTCTTCGGGGTCGTTCAGGAGAACAGTTTCAGCCCCACCAATGATACTGAGCGTTGAGATCACATTTGTAGTCACGCCGAAAAGACGGCGAACGACGTTTGCAAGAATTGGCCGTTTCGTCCCATCTAATAGCTCGTTGAGGCTTGTCACCGACCCATCCGACGTCTCCCGATCAATTCTCACTCTTTCCTCTCCCGTCACTGGCTCTAAGAGTCCACTAAGATGCTTCGGGTGTGTCAGGGCGTAATTGAGTTGCTGAACAAGCAAAAGGGCAAGCTCCACATAGGAACGGGATACGGAGGAGATAGGCGAGGATTCTCTTCGAGAAGTATTTGACGAGGAAGTACCAGATGCCATGAGGTAGAAGAGTTCCACAGTAAGCTCAAGCTCCTCAAGGAAGGGCAAAGTCAACGGATCATCGTTGCTCCACGAAAGGCACCTGGAAAGTTGCTGGCCATACAGTTGTACAAAGCCGACTACCTGTGATTCAATGAATTGCTGCGGACTGGCGAGGTTACTGATCATGCCGGTTAGGTTTGCAAGCATGAGGCAGTAAGCTTTGTGTGCGGGACTACGTTCGCCAGGGAGTTCTGGCAATGCCGTGTCCACTTGGCCTTCGCTAAGTGCGACTGAAATACTGTTGTTGCAATACGCAGCTATTACGCTTTCACTTGCAAGTCTTTCGGCAGTGAATGAAGTTGATGCCAATGCCATGTGGAAGGACAGAACCTGAGGGGCGTACAGAGGCTGGCCTCGAATGCGCAGAAGGTCTAGGTCTGAGAATCCCGAGATATCGGCCTGTGTTAAGACCATTAGGCTAGTGTTAATCACTTCCGTTTCTTGACACCTGGTGAGCCATGCATTAGATGACGTATGTAACCCCTGTCGTGTACACTGCTGAAACACAGCGACAAGGAGCTCCATATCCCTGTCCAGTTCCAGATCCAACCTCGTCCGTGCAATGTCAAACGACAGTCGGAGCGCATCGATAACTAATAGAAGAACAGTGGTGAAAGTCCTGCTCATCAAGAGCCGATGTTCGGCCTTCACGTCTTGAGATGAACGGGTCAGCTGTTGGCAGTTCTTGGCGCAGTAGTACACGATCTGCAACAAGCTGCGGTGGAACGGATTAGTGATGGAGCCTATGAAAGACCTTCCAGGAGGGAACGCTTCACTCGTAAGTATACTTCCGACGTTCTCGAGTAAGGACATGAAACTCTTGGTCTGCTGTGTAGTCTCTGAAGTAGAGAACCATGCAGCTTCGAGAAGGGCAAGGAGGACTTGTAATCGGCCACCATGGATATTAGACATGAAGTCCCCCGAACGTTGCTCTCGAGCAATGTCTCGAGAAGCGGATACGGCCGTTGCAAGCAGTATCGTCCGTGCAGCGTTGTTCCCACGTAGATACCCTTTCATCTGATCTAGCAAGAAACGCCACGACTCTGCGAGGAATAGCTGTGAATGCGCGAGAGACATATTCAGATTGACGGAATAAACCAGAAGCTGGACTTTCGCAGACATCATTTCTTTCTCGCCACCGGCCGCGAACGCAGTACGAAGCACGTCTCGTAATAAGCGGACAGAGAGCATGAAATTGTCGCCGAAATCACGTTCATTGAGAGGCTCCACCGGTCGCAAACTCTCAAACGTCAAAGGTTCAAAGCTCGTCTTCAAAACCTCAGTAAGCTGATCGTATAATGTTGGATCATACGAAGAGAATATAGCCTCTGAGATCGCCTCTGTGAGAAGTTCACCATTCTGGAAGACAGACGCCGCTTCTTTGTAGCTCGTAGGCTGCTCCCTTGACGCCTCCTTCCCCGAACGCAAGTGCATCACGATGTCCGAACCCAAGATTCGCAAAGCATGTGACTTGATTTTCGTTCGGTACGCATGATTCTGGACAGCTTCGTGTAAATCGGAGTGGGTGCCTTCTTCTGTTTCTATCTCTCCTCCCGAAAAGTAATCTGGAGCTGGACCGAGTTCTTCCCTTGTTATGGCTGCGATGTGTTTCCAGAACTCTACGTCTCCTCGGGTTGGTTCTAATGTAGCTAGATGTTCTAGACTCCGATTCCAGACGATATTAAGGAAACTCATGACAGAAGCCAACAATTGTGGGTTTGCTTCCCATAACTCCTTCCATCCAGATAAAGTGGCACAGGCTGCCTCTACTGCACTAGCTGACGTAGTCATCGACGAAGACAACTCAGACAATTTCTCGATCTCCTGACCCTCCACAGCCTTGCCTTTCCCCTTCGATGGGTGGATTCTGAACTGCCCGGCAACGAACAAGACAGCAAGCGCAGGCTGCTTCTCCACAGCAGCACACACAAACGCCCACAGCGCATTCCGTAACTCAAGATCATCATACGGATGACGCAGAATCTTCACGAGGCTCGCCATCGTCGCCTGTGCGTCGCTCAAATACTGAATGAGTGATGGTGGAGATGGTGTACATGCCGATAATGACGTGCAGAGTGCAGTGAGTGAACGTGCGGCTTCTCGTGGGATGTAGAGACCTAGTTCTCGTTGTTTCACGTAGTGTGCGAGCATGTCTACTGGGTTCACTCGTCCTTTCCGTGCTCGCATTAGCATCCCGCCGGCAGAGTGGTCTGTACATAACGCCTGTTCGAGGACAGTGTGCTTGGTCGCAGCCGGAGAGATAGTCTTGAGATACAAGACCAAACGCGTGAGGTGCAAGCTGTCACCAAGAAGTGCCGTAAACCTTATAGATTCTGAGAAGCGGCGCATACTCGCAAGTGTATCGACGATAGTCCGGCCAGACGCGATAGTGTGTACGAGGGGAGTGACAGTAGATGCTGTTGCTTGGTAAAGTAGAACATCCGTGACGAAAGCAGATAGACCAGCGAACGTATGAGCAGATTCCACTGCAGACGACGTCTGGATGATTCTCGAGTACAACGCAACGATACTCCTTCCAATCTCAAACCTATCTCCAAGGTGCGCATATCGCCAACCGGAGTGTTCCACCCAAATCTGTCCATGAATGAAACGTATAGCTCTCAGAAGCACTTCCTCCTTGATAGTTTGTAATCGTGGTTGTTCTTGTTGAGTTGGTAGAAGAGAAGTGATGGTTTCCTCAAGTGCGGTGCGCACGAGTCGAAGCAGTGCAAGCGTCATCAAGTAATGCCCTGAGGCACGCTCAGTGGATAAGATCACCGAGTCAAAGTTCGCATCTCTGTCAGAACCAAAAAGGAACGAGGATGACCGCAACGAGAGCCAGACGCGATTGCGATATGCCGGAACGTCAAGCAATGTAGAAAGGATGTCGAGAGCAGGTGCAATTAGACTTGTAGGAGCTCGGGTCCTGCCACTCTGAGCACGAGAAAGTGCGTCTTCGAGGATCATGAAAGCAAGCTGTACGAGATCTGGTGGAGGCGCGTCGCGTGCGGTATAAGATACAGGTTGCCCGCCTTGTTCAAGCGATGACATGAGTTGTTCCGCTTGAGGTACGTTCCCTTGTATAATGCTCAAGACCAACTCGAGTGCATCTGCGACCATAGCTTCATCCTCGACTCCTGTCTCAACACCAATGTCACTTAACTGGAGGGTAACGGGAGCGTCCGACTTCCTGCTATGGACAGAGTCAACAAGTCGACTCGCAGCACGGGATAAACCTTGTCGGCGGTTGACGTAGTCAATCAGGACGTCAATCAGCAACTTCCACCCCGAATGCTCGTGCTGCCATGCAACGACGACAGGGTCCGAAGTGCTATCAGCACATAACAATCGGCCGGTAGACTTCAACGGAAGTAGAGAACCCCCAGGTAGCGTGACAGGACGCGAATTCGCGTACGCAGCAGCTCCAGAAGCAGATGACGAACCAACACGTTCAATCGTCCGATCATACAACGCTCCAGCACCAGTTCGCGCTACCGCAGGGATAACTTGCGTATACGTCGGGAGTCGTCGGAAGTAATGATAAACATAACTCGCGCATAAGTGTCGTTCTGCACGGTTACTCCCAAATGCGTCGTTCTCCATACCCGGGTCCGTTGACTGTGCACGGACAGTCCCTGACATAGCTCGAAGAATTCGTATTAGAGGGCGGAACTGTACGGGAAAGCGAGACCGTACGACGTCGAGGATTGCACGTCGGGAGCTGCCCATTCGCCAGTCGACGTCCCAGAACTGTTTGCAAAGTCCCGCGCACCGGGGAGATTCGCTGTTGCCGAATAGTTCTATCCATACTTCGACAAAGCCGTCGAAATCTGGGACATGCTCCACAGGTCCATAGTCAGTCAGAGACATAATCAACCCTGTAAGCAAAACAAAATGAGATAACTTTAAAAATGTGTTATTTTGAGGAAGCACCTTTCAGCAGAGCCCTATATGCAATATCATTAGCGTCCGTTACCGACGAACCAACACGTATAGCATTGGAAGCCATAAACAGCGGAGAAGAAAGTAATTCCTGCATGAAAGAAAATAACCCCGCCTCGGGACGTAAACACGCAGCAACGATCGTTGCATGAACTTCCTTCTCTCCCTTCTTGAAAGTAACTTCCGACGAGGACCTGATTTCTTGTAAGAATGGCACTAGGTATTTAGGACGCTCTGCCATGCGAGAGGCCGTATCGGAAATCGCCTTGATGAAGAATGCCCAGGCTAGCATGGTGCAGAAATAACCTGGACTTGCGTGAACGATGATGAGCCTGTGGATTTTGAGTAGAGCCAATGGAGCTAGGTGTAAGGGTCCTTTCTCTGAAAGTGCCTCTCGGGCGTCATAGGTGACTGTATCCGATAGGTACTCCAATTGTAGAGTTTCGATCGTGATGAGCACCCAGAGCGACGCGAGGTCGCGTTGTAATTGTGTTCCTTCTTCGTCCAGCATGGACGTCTTGTTCGCTTGCCTATAACCAAACTCGGCCTCGTACGCCGTTTGGAATACTGCAACTGCGATAGGAGCATTGACAGGACAATAATCCCATAACATCCAGAACAGCAACTCAACAAGGACAAGCTGCTCTTTAGCATTTTGCTTTGCCCATTGTGAAGTGGCTTTTAGCCCTCCCGACGCGAATTGGGGGACGGATAGTTGAGTCTTTCGGAGAAACTCTGATGCGAGTTTTAGTGAGAAGTCAGTCGGGTTTGGGATGATTTTGCGAAGGAGGGTTGGGGCTATGTGGTGGAAAGGATCGGACTGGGTCTGCGAGCTTTTGAGCAGAGCGACGACCGTGCGTACGATATACAGACGTTCGGAGTAATAAAAGGGCGTTATCCTCGTCATCACCTCTTCAATGACAGACGACCTCTGGTCTTCCGGAAATTCAGGTAAACCTTCGTTATAGAGGAACGATCGAACAAGAACAAACGCCTCGACTTGGTCAATTTGGAACCGGTCGCTCATGGCGAACGCGAGTTCTTTGCTGAGATCATCGACAGGGACTGTAATACCATCGTTAAGCTCTATCGAACCACTTTCAAGTTTGTTCTTTGACGCGTCTGAGGGTTGGGCGAATGGTTCTGTTACGCGTTGGAGACGCTCGATACGTGGTTCTAGGATTTGGGAGAGCTGGTCTGGACGTGTGCCTTCTCGGTGGCCGGAGATTATCAGTGCAATGGCATCGTAAGTTCTAAACGAGAGGTAAGCTTTGAACAGCGGTGATGGTGTGGTACATACATGTCAATGAGTTGAGAACGAGGTGAACTTGACGAAGCCATTGTGCTTGTACCGCTTTCTTCAACCTGAAAGAAAATTATGGAAAATGAAGCAATGTTAAACAATGGATTCAGTACATAAAGTCATACCGTATCCCTATGTCCTGCAGAGCTAAAAGGACCAGAGCACGACGTTGGCGACACAAGCTCAGTTTGTTCAACAAGATTTCCTCAGTTCGCGGCTTGAACGTGAAGCGTGACATCCAACGCGAATCCCCACGTGACCAAAATGAGTGACATGCGTCACACACGGACGCGCAGGAACAGCGATGGCCAAAAGCCGTACAGAGGGCGCACTACTTCGACAACATCGACCACCGAGCCCCGTCGCTCAGAAAGAATTGCAGCGATGGCTATGGCAACTCAGGCGACGTTCGGCGCACCCGCACCCAAGAAGATGAAGCTCGAACACGACGGTTCAACTCCTACTCCTTCGTCATCTACGCCTGCGCCGTCTACTCCTCAGCCTCAGACGACAACGCCTGCGGCCACGACAGCCACGTACTCGGCCAGTGCGCAGTGGCCTACCCGTACGTGTTTATAAAGGCGCTGATTTTGTTCTTGCACTGCTTGCTGATATAGAGAATGTACACAGAACCTATACCGATCGACCCTGCGTTGCAGTCTCAACCTGCACCCACGCCTGTCCCTCAGACGCAAACGCCTACGCAAGCTCAGGTACAAGCCCAAGTGCAGCAATTACAACGACAAACTCCAATGTGCGTATCTTCTATTACTCAGATTTTTACGGAGTTGGTTAAAGCTTGGACTGTTGTGTAGAATGAACTACCAACACTACCAAGCATATGGCGCTTCGCATTATCCTCAATACACTCAACATTACGCACAATACCAGCCTGCGCAGACCGCAGCAATCCCAACTGCTACTCCTGCTCCCGCACAGCCTGCTGCACCTACGCCTGTCGCAGCACCATTATCGCGTCAACCAACACAGACGGCTGCTAATGAGTTAGAGTCGAACGTGGATATCTCAACGTTGAATGATGCATTGGGAAGTGCTGGGCTGGACTTACGAGTGAGTCATAAACTACTTTCTCTTTACAACTTCCGGTGCTAAACGTATTTTCAGGCGGAGGAAGAAACACTCCAACGCTCCCAAGACTACTACAACACCTACCGAACATACGAAGACCGTTCCCGAAAACAACCCAACTCACCCTCCTTCGACACCCGAGTCCTAGGCCAAACAATGCGCACCATCTCCACACACCACAAACTCTCCCGAATCCCGGAAGACTGTGTCAACTACCTCGCACTCGCTCTACGTACTCGTCTACAAGGACTTATAGAACCAATGATACGCGCTGCGAATCACCGGACGACTGCGCAGTTTGACCGAGCGCCGAGTTTGTATGAGGATGGGACGCCGATGTGGAGTGTGGTTGTTAGGAGGGATACGAAGAAGCAGTTGGAGGTGCTTGAGAGGGTTGAGAGGGAGGAGGAGATGAAGTTACGGAGGGAACGAAGGGAACGGGCTGAAGCTGCTGCTGCTGCTGCCGCTGCGTCTGCTGCGCAAACGGGGTCACCATCGTTAGACGGTGCAGGAGGAGGAGGATCGGGTGCGGACGACCCGATGGATGGGACAGGCGGTGCAGGCGGGACGGCTAAAAAAGCGAAGAAGAAAAAAGAAGGACCGGGAGTGACTGCGAAGAACATGTCAGAAGACGTACAAAAACGGTTGTCGAACGCTACTGCTGCTCAAGCTGCAGGTCTTGGACGAAGAAACTACGCGTGGATGAACGCGGGTGGTGCGGCTACGCCTCCACCAACAAAACCCAAACCAGCCGCGTCTACGTCCGCTGCGTCGCCTGCAAAAGAAAACATGCAGACGGCGGGGCAGGGGACGTCAACGACAGGGACGGGGAGTCAGACGGCGAGTTCGTGGTCGAAGCCTTATGTACCGGCGTCGGCGAAAGGTTCTGCGTCACCTGCTCCTGGTGAGGAAGATAAGACGGTGATTACGATGCGCGATGCGATGTTTGTTGTTGAGCGGGAACGGGGACATGGAGGTGGGCGGGGTTCTTTCGCTGGGAGACCTTGGGTCTAGCGAACCGCCGCTGTTGTATATCTTGCACGGTGTCACTTACTTGTGTGCTAAGTCGTATAGTAAACCTTGTACTTCGCACATAATGACATCGCTTTATCATTATTCCTTTCAATACCGAAATTCAAGTGAAAGTGAAAAGGTTGTACTGTTTTATTTTTGATCATCTACATATTCTACACCCCACTTCCCTACCCAAACCCAACCCAACCCAACCCAACAACCCACCTACACACTAATAATCCCCTTCGCAAGCGCAAGCTCCGCATTAATAATACTACTCGTCGCAGCCCCAATACACACATTATTCGCAAGCACAACAAACTTAACATCCAACACCGGACACTGTCTCACCCTCCCAACATTCACCCCAGCTCCCCTTTGGTAATCCCGATCCAAACGAGGTTGAGGTCGATCGGGAGAGTCGTGGACGACGATAGGGATTTGTGGAGCGGAAGGACACCCGAGATGTCGAGCTTCAGTTGTGAATTGTTCGAGCGCTTCGCGGACTTGTTGAGGTGAGGGAGGGGGACGACGGGCGAAGCGGACTGAGACTGTTGCTGTGTGTCCGTCGAGGACTGGGACTCTGTTACAGGCTGCGGAGATGCGGAGAGGGTGGGAGGCGTGCATGTCGAATTTTTTGGCGTGCGTGGCGTGCGGTGTGCCAGCGCTGGTATTACTGCCACCTCCTCCAAAGGGGTATGACGAATTTGTCAATGTCGCTGAGGTAGAGGTATTGGTATTTTCATTTTTGTCGTCGGTCTCGTCTGCGTTGACGATCCCACCAAGGATTTTAAGCATCTCCCACTGCATTTTCTCTTCTTCGCCCGAGATGTAGGGAACGATATTATCCAGTATATCAAGTGACGGAACACCAGGGTACCCAGCCCCACTAATCGCCTGCATCGTCGTCGCCAACACAGCGTCCAAAGGCCCAAAGGCGCGTTCCAAAGCAGCAAGAGGGATAACTATCCCCGTCGTAGAGCAATTCGCATTCGTCACTATGAACCCCCGGTGGAGAGGTGGCGAGTGTAGGGACCGTTGGTAGGGTATGACAGCGAGGTGGGATGGGTTGACGAGTGGGACGAGTAAGGGGACGTCTGGATCCCTTCTGTGGTTCTTTGAGTTGGAGAACACAGCGAGTTCAGCTGCTCGAAACTCCGTCTCTATCCCCGTCAGGTTTAAAATTTTTTATTATCAGTCAGATTATCCATCTCCTCCCAGCACAACTCACGAAGCGAAATCAAAATTTTCACAATGACTCACCGATATCCCCAGCAACATCCGCATCCAACCCCGAAAACACTACCACACACTCCCCAAAATGCCGTGGCACACATTCATTGACTACGATATCCTTAACATAACTCGGGATCGGGGAGGATAGCTTCCAGTTGCATGCTTGTTCGTAGGGCTTGCCTGCGGATCGTGCTGAGGCGCCTAGGGCGTGTACGACAAAGAATGGATGGTTCCCGAGGAGAGAGATGAAGCGCTGGCCGACTGTTCCCGTCGCGCCTAGGACGCCGACTTTTAACTTGCGCCCGTCGAGCATGGTGGGTGCAGAAGAACCTGCTTGCAGGATGGCGGTGACAGTGAGTGTATGCGTGGGGTGACGTGATGAGTGTCATGTGATGTAACTCGGTTTGTACCTGTTTTTCGCGTCTCCTTTTTTACTAGTGTGATGAGAGTGTGGCAAGTACATTGCATATATGTAACGCTATCCATGGTGTTCAATCACTCCTTCAGCTTAGTGTCCCACCATCAGGATTACTATACACTTTATGTATATAGGTGACTGTAATGCGTGGTTGCATTGTTAAGTAAGCATCACAGATATTGTAAGTAATGGTCAAGTCGTTGTATATAATCACACCAATGATGCAACAATAATCTACATTTTTGTAGCTAACTGAGGCCTTTTCTTTATCCCTGGTTACTGATTTTGAGGTAAGTAATGTATAATGGGTGACCTGTTGCTATATCTGACCTATTTACTGTAACCCTATACGGTTGATTGCCAGTTGCCTATATAAATGAGCATACGGTACTGGTGTCTCTACCAACCCAAGTGCCATGTCGCACCTGTCTACCCATCTCCCCGACGTGGAATTGGTCAAACAGGGAACTCCTACTTCTGGATTCTTTGGCCGTACTGTACACGAAACCTGGAGAACGCAAGACCCATATG